TGTTTTTGGAAAATGTTGGACGCTACATTGAACATGCTTTGTAACACGTTTCGGAAACTATTAAACACATTTTAAACATATGTTTTCATGTCTTATTTCCTTTAACAATATTGTATACAGTGCCAATTTTCTCCTGGTGGTGAGTTTTGAACTCTTTTTTTTTTTTTTTTTCCTCCGCAGAAAATAAATTCCCATAACCTCCTTTACACGATTCCCAAGTTTGATAACATTTGGTCAGGTAGTTTTCCTTTTATAACCATTTCAAATTGGAACTTTAATTATAACCACTATGTAAATTAAATTTTAAAAAGTTTGACAGTTTGGTTCAAGTCCCAACTTTAAAAAATATATATATAAATATAAATTTTTATATTAATCCTCTTAGAAAGAATGTTTAAGAAGCTAATTTTTCTCTCGCGTTATAGATTGTAAAAAACATGATCTTTAATATGATTTAGATTGTTTTCAGCCGATATAAGAATCGGGTTACTTGGTGGTACAGAATAAACCCTGCTGGACTGTTTTATTTCTTTGTCATTTAGCAAAAATCTTTTAATTAAAATATTTATCCTTTGGACTTCGCTTTAAACTTTATTATAGTTAAAATGACTAGAAAATGAAAAGCTGTCTTCAGCTGAAACCAATTCATGCAATTGATATTTTTTAAAAAATGACAAGAATGCAAAATTTATGGAAGTCTAGCAGTTCGAAAAATCGTAATTTTTCTTGTTTGAGCACTGAAAATAACTGTAGAAAGGAAAGAAGAAAATTAGAGAGAAAAGTAAAGCAAAAAATTGCAGGGAAATTTGGCTGTTCAGACATACCAAGATGTTTCAAAAAGTTGGAACGCTTTTGAAGATACTTTCAGGATACTTAAAGAATTTAGGTGTTCGAAGAGAAAACACTTGGACGTGTACACCAGCAAATACCATCAATTGAGCAAACAGAACAGAAAAGACAAAAACGATATCATTGCAGATTAAAGTGAAGAGCAACTGATTTTAGACTATATGGTTGTATAAATTTAAATTACGTTATAGAACATCATATCGTATCAATGGAGTATCCCACAATTTTCTCAGTCAAATTAATTGAAGATTCAGGAGTTTATCCAGTGATGTACGTGGATGTCACCTAAAGATGTTTTTTTCTCCTCCTAATGAAACAGCGGCCGAGCCAAAAGTCGTTGAACACTGGTAGTTCGGTCCGAGGTTCGAATCCCGCGAAAGGCTGCATGGGCGTTTTCCCCATGTGTAACGTGTATGCGAGCCAGTTTTCCTTAGAAAGTCCTCCACGAAGGCGTCCCTCCCCATAGGCAGATAGCCCTAGTGCGCTTTGTCATAATTAAATAAACCAAACATCTTGATGATACCAGTCTTTCCTTTCATCTCATACCTTCAAAATGTTTAGCCTCTAAAGACTGATAAAGGTTCTGACCAAATACTTCGTGAAAAACTTTCTAAGGGAAACCAGCTGGCATACACGGTACACATGAGAAAATCCATGAAAACGCCCATGCAACCAGCCCATTGGGCGTTTTCCCCATGTGTAACGTGTATGCGAGCCAGTTTTCCTTAGAAAGTCCTCCACGAAGGCATTCCTCCCCTTAGGCAGATAGCCCTAGTGCACTTTGTCATAATTAAATAAACCAAACATCTTGATGAAACCAGTCTTTCCTTTCATCTCATACCTTCAAAATGTTTAGCCTCTAAAGACTGATAAAGGCTCTGACCAAATACTTTGTGAAGAACTTTCTAAGGGAAACCAGCTGGCATACACAGTACACATGAGAAAATCCACAAAAACGCCCATGCAACGAACCCGTTTACCAGGATTCGAATCCCGGAGTGAACTACCAGTGTTCAGCGACTTTACCGCTCGGCCATTTGTGGGCCTTTATGAAATGGAAGGCGATAACTTTATTTAAAATGATTACCAGAAATATAAAGATATTTCGAAAAGTTGGATGCTTTTTAATATACTTGCAGAATGCCTAAAGAAAAAGAGAAAAAATAAATTTTTGCATAAAATTTAGTATTTGTATTTTTTTAAATTTAAAACCTTTTAATCTTATGATATTTGATTCTTGCGATTTCAAAAATAAAATATTTGAATAAAATATGAATAACATTTTAAGAAACCAAATGTAGGATAAAATTGTGTAAAGCAATGGGCACAATGATAAAACTGTTTAAAGCAGTGTATGCAAGTCATCCTAAGTTAAAATGTCAGTTATACATCTCTCTTATTTATATATATCTTTTCTGAACGGAACATTGAAAGGCGTGTTAACTGTGCTATACTGTATTTTCTCTTTTAATATATGCAGTTTTCAAATGCATCATAGTCTGGGATACAAAGTATTCTTGAGAAAGAAAGACAATTCAAATAAATAAAATCAAATTCTGGAAAATTTATATTAATAAATATATTTAAAATACTCAGTTCGAAGGAATAAATAGAAAATTTTAAAACAATTATCTGAAGAGACAACGCAACACAAACAATTAAAATAAAAGTATAAAAATTTTAAAATTACCTAAAATAATAACCATGACAAAAATATATATAAAGAAAACTATTTGAAAAAAATAAACGTTGCACCTTTATTTACGCAGTTCGAACAGGTAAATAGAAATTTTTAAAACAGTTATTCGAAAAAAAAACCATGCAACTTAAACAATTAAAATGAAATTCGAAAAAGAAAAAGTTACTTAAAATAATAACAGTTATAATTAAAAATATAATATAAAGAATATTATTTTGGAAAAAAAGGAACGATGGTGACTTTTTTTTCCTCTTACAGGAAAGGAAACTAGGTTGCCATACATTAAGAAGTTCGCCAAGTGAACTATTCTTGGCGCAAACTGAAAAAAAGTGCAAAATAAATTTGTGAATTTCTCCCTAAATTTCGCTCCAAATTTTACAAAATTTCATATTTAAGCGTAACTTGAGTTGTAGAATCGAAATATGTAAAAAAATTGGTATGTTGTTTCAGAAAAAGTCCGATTTTGTGTCAAAATACCTATGTTACAATAGTGCTATATATAAATCTAATATATATCCCAAGTCGCGCTTTCGAGACATGAAGAACAAAATTTGAATTTTGTCAATCAGCCCAGTAGAACAGGAGATATAGAACTGTTCCTTTTTTTTTGAGCAGTGTACATAATACTCACCAAACATTTGAATGGGGCACATTTACGGCACAGAAAATCTCTTGCATGCTAATATCTGGATGATCTTCGACTCTTTGCAGAATGTCCTCTACAACTTGTGAAGTCTGCACACTCCTGCCATGCCCTGCATCATGCATGCTGTTGAAATGCTACCATCAGAAGAATCAAATTTAAAGTACTCCTCATCCTTGAAAATGTAGCTGGCCATTCTCTCCTGAACTAATGTACAACTTTTATTTCTGCTATCTAATACATCTTTTTACAACCTGTAGACCAGTTGTGCTTAACCTTTAGCCTCTTGCTAGCACATTTCCAAAATATCAACACTTTTGTTAAACATATTTCTAATCTTATATGATACATCTGAAATATTAATTTCGGCAAATGAGTTTGAGATGAATAATAATATTGGTTGAACTTTATGGAAATCAGAGAAGCGGAGTTCAAAATTTTTTTTCAGTGCATTTAGGTTTTCCGAGTATTTCTCTATTTCAACTGCCTTGTTTCTTTCATTTGATTTATCCACAAATTTAACTTTATCTGAAAAGCAGTTACAGTCCCAGTCAATTGAAAAAGGATTTTTTCTTTTCCCTGGAGATCTTCGTTCATTTTTTTTTTTTTTTTTTCAGTTTAACTGTTATATCCATGAAAAAAAGCAGATCAGATAACCAATTATTATCGTTCAATTCTAACTTTCATTTCCGGATTCCCAAAACTGCTTTATTGGCGAAAGAAGTTCTACAAATCATTGATGTACTTTTTCCCTGCTGAGCCATCAACATTGGAATGAAGCAATAAGCTTCCATGTTTGCTACTAAGTTCATCAGTCAGTAATCAATTATTTTATACCGTCTTGCAAGATATCTCTTATGACTAGAAATGCTTACCATATTTTAATAATTAAGAAATATAAATGAATGGTTATTTTAAAAGTTTTTTTTTGTTCATAGTACTTAAGCGGGCTAGCGAGCACACACAAAATGATCGGCGAGCACAAGGTTGGGCACTGCTGCTGTACACAAGATTTAAAACATATTAAATAAAATTAATATTCCAGCATGCTTTGGATAAATTGAATAAGGAAACATTTACATTCATTAATAAGGTTGGGCACTGCTGCTGTACACAAGATTTAAAACATATTAAATAAAATGAATATTCCAGCATGCTTTGGATAAATTGAATAAGGAAACATTTACATTCATTAACGTGGAAGAAATTCTCAATTATGGATTGATTGTACCAACCGTGATTAGCATCAATTAAATTATAAAAACCAGTAACTTTGAATGTGTGATGATTTGATCACAATGTGTAAAAAGCAAAAATCCCATCATCCCTAACACAACAGAATTTCCCAGTATTATTACAATGGCACAGACAGCGAAGGAGGATCCAATGATATATTATTTAAAGATTTTGATAAATTGTTAGTCAACAAGAACGTATGCAAAGATGAAATATTAGAAATAGCCTCAGAGACTCTTAGTCCTGCAGAACATAGTGATAATGTAGGAAATATCCAATTTTAAATGTAGATACACTTTTATTACATATTAATTACTGTATATTTTGTTGAGATAAAATAAGCTTCAAATGAAAATTTTCAGGATCTTTTAAAAATTATTTCTGAACCACCTGTCTGTTTTCTCCATAGATGCAATGCCCTTTTTTATACCAGTTGTTTTATAAATGTATTCTTCAGGAACATATCTTTCATGTAAAAACAAAATTAGGTGCAATTACTTTTTGCCATTATCTGCTAAATAAGAAAAAAAAAAAAAAAAAAATGCTACAATTATTAAAATAATTACAAACAAATATGTATAAGAATTTATTTAATCTTAAAACTATATTATGTACAGATATATACATATAAATGAAATTTTCATGCCAATGTATAAAAAATAGTTCTTAACAATGATAAGGTATCAAGATGAATTTTTTTGTTCTTGTTGAGAGAGTTTAGCAATCTTTCTTTTCCTAAAACGCTGACTTCTAATTTGCTGCTTTTTTTTGTACTCTTCTGTTCTGGGGTATGTAAAGACGATGCACTATAAAAAGATAAATAAATACTAATGTGACTTTTTTTGTTTAATATCAATTTTAAAATTCTAAATAATTTTTCATAAATACAAAAAAGATTTTAAGTATATATAATAAAACGCCCAAAATAATGTACAGTCAAAAGTCGTTAATTCAGACACCCATAATCTGGACCTCAATGCTACAAACTTTCTGCGCATGCGTCGAATTGGCATAGGAGTTTACGCATGCGCGTAAGACCTTTACGGTTGCGCATATGCGTGTGCGCACGCACATCATACGTTTACGCATGGGCGTTTAATGTATAACGGACGGTATAAGGTAAAATTCTCTAATTATCTATTTTAGATAATGTTGAAGATTGCGTTGTTCCTTAATCTTCGAATTGGATCTGGCTTATTATTTTTTGCAGACAGTTAGAGCAATTTTATAAAAGTAAGCTTGAACTTTCGATTATGTCAAATAGAATTTCCGATGCGGGAGCTCCCAAAGGATCTACAAAGCGAAAGTATATTTCAATGTCCATCAAACAAAAAGTGGAATTGCTGCAAAAAATGATAAGGCATATCCTTTGATTTCTCTAATAGAATTCCAAAATCTTTTTATCATTTCACGCTGCTCTGCGGGGGGGAAACGCCGCGGCGCGCATAGAATTGGGAAGTTGATCTGTCAGCACTATCCTTATCTTCAGGGCAGATGTTTTTATTTTATTTGGTTTATAATTCCTTACGTACTAAATGTAGTATTTCATCTCGATGTACTCCGTTTTTGATATGATTTAATCAAATTCCTCGTCATTATAATTCGCTTCCGATAGTGAAGAAAGTGACCCAGAGGTTATTGAAAACGAAAAATTTCGATTGACAAATTAGTCGGTATTCTCGACACAGCAATTATAGGACTTGAACAGCGGAACTTTGTAACTAAACAAGAAATTATGTCTGTTTAATAGAATTAAAGAGAAAGTATTATCACATGAAACGAAGCAACTTAAACAACTTACATTGAAAGAATGTTTAATAAAGTAAACAAATAAATATTAAGCTTTTTTTTTTTTTTTTTTTTAATTTTGATACCCTTTAGATCATAATTGTTCTTTATTTCATAAATTATGGTTTCATATTTTTAATTTTGTAATTTCTGCATGCCATCTTACCAGATTTAAACTGATGATCTATAATCCGGAATTGGCGAAGTCCCAACGAGTCCGGATTAACAACTTTTGACTGTAATAAACAATAAATTTTAATTCATTGAACCAGTTCCTTAAAAAAAAAAAAAAAAAAAAAAAAAAAAAGGGGGGGGGACATCAACTTGTATTCAACAACAAAAGCAAATTAATTATCAGCAATTTATGAAAATGTTGGAAAACTTAGTTTTGAGATTTAAAGAAGGTAAGCCAAAAGTCCAAAAATTTTAATATTCACAGCACTAAGTGTAGTTTACTCTATAAGTATGGACTTAAGAAAACTTTTAGTTTAAAAATTCACCAATAAATTGCACTGAAGACACAGGAAAAGGTAATGAACGTGATTACTGTTTTTTATTACCTTATGTAAATGTCAGATAGCATTTCACACTATAAAGAATGACATGAAATGAATGAGGTTAGTGAATGACAATGCCTCTGATTGTGGAAAATAACCAGTCTCAACTAACCAACTAACATAGCTACTTCAAGGTAAACGGAATTTTCAGATCCTACAATATGGAAGAACCTAATGATAATTATTCTGTAACCTCATAACTAAAAACTCACTGATGTCTGACTGAGGAAGCAATGGGATTTGGCAATGCATACTGATCAGTCTCTTTCTGTTGGATGTTTCTTTACTAAAGATGCAGTAAGAGCTGGTGTCCCATCTTGTATAATCAACACAATGCATTCCAGTAAAGATGATGTAGTTTGCTCATGTAGTAGTGTCATCTACAGTATGACATTTGTGTATGAATATTCCTCAGAGTATATCTTTACACCGATTTTGTAAAGTTTAAAGATTTTGCATCTGGTCTAAAATATACACATCAAACTTGACAGCATTATTTTGCTTATTAGTTATCCTAGCAGAATATATTAAGCTGTACAGTAGAAATGCCATTAAATCTTAAAATTATAATCTTATTAAAGCACATTTGGAAAATAACAAATAATGGGTATTAAAATATCCTAACACAATGGAAATAACTTAATTAGTAATTTTAATCAAAGTTTGGGCATCTAGTCTTGTTTCTGCTTTAAACATTCACATTTTTTTTGAAAGCTTCACCATATTCTTTTCCTTTTATCTCAAAAGATATTTCTATATTTTGCATTTATTTTATTATTTTAATTACTGTACATTCTGGGGTATAACACATACTTTTAATACAAAAAATAAGATTGAAAATTTATGGGTGCGCATTATACGCCTGATATAAAAATTATACATTTAAAACTATTGAAAAGAAGAGCATAAAAATAAATTTGATTTCTACATGTACCTAAATGCTGCTATTAGCGATTTTGGTGATTTTCTAGGACCCAGTTTGGCAACACTTTCTTTAGGATAGGCCATTTCATTACCCTTTTCCACAAATCATATTCATTATTTGGCATATTATTTATCGTAACATCATTTTTCTTCCATTCACATATGGAGCTCTTACCAATGTCATGCTGCAGCACGATTTTCATTTTCTTTCGCAAACTGAATTACTTTGCATTTGAAACCAGCACTATGTTTCGTTTGACAGGAGCCATATTTACTACCAAAAGGAATACTATATCAACTGCATTTTAGTTAAAGTAAATGCGATTTACAACCCTTTGATGTTTATTCAAAATCACGGCTTTAAATGACTACAGAAAGAGATGATTTCTGACTCCTTATTCCACAAATGAATTCAGTTTAGAAGTACATTCGAACAAATTATGTCTCCCTTTCCTCGAAACCATAGAATAACATTCTAGTGCACATCTACATTGAATGCAATTAACCCTTTATGCAGATTTACTCTCTCAATGCACTTTCCTCACATACTTATTGTTTCTCACTTCAATATACAACTGTTCGAAAAATCTTCGATTGAATGACATCAGAAGATACATCACACATGTATCTTTCAGGTTTCTTCTTAAAGAAATGGGCACACATTATACAGCAAATATACCTAAAAATTAAAAAAATGTAGTTTGGAATTGCAGGTGCACATTATATGCTGGAATATACAATAATTAATACTTTGTATTTTGTAAGTAAATGAAAGGTTGTGTTGCAATACGAATGCGCAAAATCTGAATTGAATTTCGCTCTTTATTTCTTATTTATTTCCAATTTACCTCATTATTTAAAAACTATTCTAAATTTTTTACATATTGTATAATTATGTGTAATTTTGCAACTCAAATAATTATGTTACTATTTCAACAGAATTTATCATTCTGCATATCACTGATCTGTTAAACACTTAAATAAAAGTAATAAAGTAATTGAATACAAACTTGTTCATCGAGATAATCCACAAGCTTCTTATTGTTGATTTTTATTCCATTTTCTTTCAGTTGCTCATGTAGATCATTCAAATTTATTGGCTAATGGAGGGGAAAAAACTGTTATAAGTTATATCAAATGAAAAATCTGTAATTTGCTCATACCAGATATTAATTTACACCTTAATTAAAACTGTTGCAAGTGTGCTATATTGTCCATTATCTGTATTACACACATAGTATATGCCCTTTCTGATTCCATAAAATTGAAAAACAAATAACTGGCACATAATGAATAGAAAAGAATAACGAAATATTTAGATTAGTTTACTGATGACTGTTAAACTATAAAAGTACATAGCAGTAATGTCTTAATTTTTTACATAATGAATAGCAAAAATTACACACTAAATATATTTAATACACAGTTTAACTTTTCTAATTTAATATTAAACACATATTAGGTGTTTTAATGAAAGTTTCCTGCCACAGCACACATTGTCTGCACATACAGTTAACATTGGCATAGTTAAGCATATTTTGTCAAACAATTTTAGGCATTTGAAAGAAAGAGCGATCACCTGTTTTTATGTATACAAAATATGACTTCGCAAATGTCAGTACAGAATGTCACCAAAATCAGATTTACAGCTTTAGGTCTAATGTATCATTTAACTCTGTGAAGGTTTGGTCCGAGTTTAAAAACAAGGACTAGACATCAAGAAGCGAGTCTGCGGCCTATGATCTGAGATGGCCGATATGAGAACTTTGGAAGAAGATCATTATGCACTGCTCGAGAGCTAGCTGAGGAGTTAGGTGTTAGCGTCCTGTCCATTAGTCAAGATGCATCACATAAACTGATGTACACGTTCAATAGTGGTGCCATAGAGCGGACTCGAGCAGATAGTACAGAATTTAGGCCCGCATTAGTCTGCTCGAATTCAATGCAGGACCAAATTCTGGACCAACTGAATTTGTGATGAAAAGTGATTTCTTAGACCCCAAGGCCAAAATTGGGTTGTCTGTGCGTCAGGCCATGCTGTTGAAAGGGGGGTTTTCAAACTCCGTTTTGTGTCACCTTGGGTATCTGGTGCGCTTGCCATGGTTCTCCACCCCGAGTACCGTAAAACACCAACCTGACAGTAGATGTACGCAAGATGCAGTCAGTGTTGACACTGTATAATGAAAAACGTTAAACTAGTCTGGCACAAAAACGGTATGTCATAAGATAATGCAAGCCCAAGTGTCTGAATTCCATGCGGATTTGCTGGCCTCGAGCCACACTCACCATATAGTCTCGACATCGCTCCTTCGGACTTCTACCATTTTACATCTGCAGCTACATCTTGCTGGATCTGTCTTCGATTCTGAATAGGGTGTCCGAAATGATGTGATCTATTTTTGGACTCGTTGCCACTAAGTCCTTGGCTTTGAAACAGCCAGAAAGTATAGCTTCTGGCTTCAGCCGAAGATTTTAAAAAACTACCCAAACCTTCGCAGAAAAGCAGATTTGGGTGGCGATTACTACCTGCACTAAAAGTACTGCTTTCACGTTTTTTTCTAACTTTATTAAGAACATTTTTTGGCAGAAATCCTTTGTTACAACCATATATGTAAACAATTACTATATTGTTTCTGCATGGATCTTAAGTTTCTTAATTATTTTTATTTCTGTGCAATCACAGAACCTCTTCCCCAATATATTTTAATTTGACTTTCATTACCTGTTACTTTCTTACTTTCTCATTTTTAATACTTTTACATTGTTTGAACTAATTAATATTTCTGTAATGAAAACTGAGTGCTTTATGATAAACCACTTTACTGTGTTTATACAAATTAAACAGAACTATGACATATTTTAGGAAATAAATAATAAAACAATTTATTTGGGAATATCTTTTAAGCTAACAGTGAGCTCATGTGAGCCTTTTGTTCTTTTTGTTTATTTGTTTATTAATACCAAGAAAGAAGAATGTAATGCATATCATAACCTTAATTGGATTCCAATCTTTCTTTTCCTAAAAATTAGGGGCATTGTTTCATTTAAATGTAATTTTTTTAAAAAATCTTTTTATTGTTAGGTTATTTTAAATTTAATTCTATCTATAATAAAATAGTATTCTTAGCTCTTAAATCAAATTATATGCAAAATGATATAAATATTTAGATGGAAATTAACAAAACAAAATTAAAATCTATACCACATAATTTAAAATCTTTATGTATAATTCTTGATTGGATAAAATATATTCTTTCAACAGTTTCATATCTTCATTAGATGTTGGCTGGTTGTCATCATTCAGCTGTGAACTACATATGTGAAGCTCATCATTAAGTCTGCAAATAAAGGAAGTCAAACATTTAACATGCACTTTTTTGTGCATAACTGCACATTAAGAATTAAATAGTTTTGAAAATACATTCAATTTATAACATATAAAGGTAAGCATAAGTGAGCAGAAAATTACAGCATTCAACGTAATGAATTCCTCTCACATATATATGCATGTTCATTAAAGTCACTACATGGCCTTTATTTTACCAACCTTAGGCATAGACATGTACTTTTAGTTAATTCTTGTAAATATTAATTAATTAATTTGTCAATATGCATATTTCTCTTAATCAATACTAGATTCTTTCCTTTTACTAATGAAGGACCAACTCTTTTCAAAAGTCTCAATTATAGCCAGAATTTAGTAAAGATTTTTATCTTTTTCTAACTATCCTTACCTTTGGCCAGTATTTAGTTAAAGTTTTGATTTAACTATTGTTGAACTTCAGTTTTAATAAATTCAGTTAAATTCAAAAAATTTCTTACAATAAAATTATTTTGCATATCTTCAAATTGTAAATTAAAAAAAATTTCAAACATTAAATTTTTTTCAAACTTAAAATTATACAGTACAAAGTATTTAATCCAGACATCCATAATCCGGACCTCAAAGCTACAAACTTTCTCCACATGCGTAAAAGTGCATATGCGTTTAATGTATAATGGATGGTATAAGCTAGGCTAAAATTATCTAATTATCTACTTCAGTTAATGTTGCAGATTGCGTTGTTCCTTAATCTTCTATGACGGGTTGTTATTTTTTGCAGACTGTTGAGCAATTTAAAAATTACGTTTGACTTTGATTGTCCAAGAGTTTCCAATTCTGGAGGCCAAGGATCTACAAGCGAAAGCATGTTCGATGTCCACCAACAAAATGTGGAATTACTGCAAAAAATGGAAAGGCATAGCCTTGTTCTCTAACCATTCCGAATCTGTTACATTTTACCGCCTGCGAGGGGGGGGGTGGGTCATCGGGCGTGCAACTGGAGTTGATCTGTCAGCACTATCCTCATCTTAGGGCAGAGGTTTTTATTTTATTCGCTTATAATTCCTTACTAAATGTAGTATTCATCTTGAGTATCCGTCTTTGATATGTTTAAATCAAATACCTCGTCTAAAATATCAGAATACATATCATTGTTTTCTGTTGCATTTCTATTTCGACTATGCCTAATTTATGCTTATGCATGCGCACATGAAAGAAATTTTAATAAAGAAACAAAGAAATATTAACTTTTTTTTTTTGTAAATTTTGATACCCTTTAGATCATATTGCTCTTTTTTCTATTAACGATTTCATTTTAATTTCATTTTCCATGGTCTTACCGAAACTGAACCATAATCCGGAATCGCCGAAGTCCTGACGAATCCAGATTAAAGACTTTGTACTGTATTAAATTAATTTAATTAAAATGTTTTTTCGAACTTTGTTTCAAAATCTGGAAACATTTACAGGAACATTAACATCATTTTCCACTCATTCATTATATTTCTACAATCTTAGCAGTTAGTAACATTTTTTTTCACACAAAACCAGCATTTTACAGCAAGATTTTTAGCAATAGAATCACACAGGTAGCAGCTTAACACTCAACTTTACATAGTATTAGCACCTTCTATTTACACAGTTAGCAGAAACAGACGGTTTAACCTCACTTTGTTTAGCCATTGCCAACTAAACTCAAGGCCTGTCAGACTGGAAGAAATTCCGGGTCCCAGTTTTCAGAAGGATTCGTGGAATTCACCACTAGGTAACGCTCATTAACCACTGCACTTTCAATCAATCAATCAATACATGGCTATACATTTAATATTTGTAGCTAGCTCATTTATAACAAAAAGTGTAATTTATTTATAATATTTATAAAGTCTTCGTTGTTTGATAATAGTAATACAAGATGGTATATTGCTGCGTGCCGTACTGTAGTTCAGACCACAAGAAATCTAAAAATGTGTCTTTCTATGAATTTCCATGCGAGGAAACTCTGAAAGAAAGATGGATCAAGAACATATCTTGAAAAGGTAAATTTATCACTATTTAATGTTTAGCAAATGCAACTAATTGAGTACTGTTTAAAATCTGTTATATATATATATAATTTTTTTTACTTTTTTCTTAGTAGAAACTTTTGTGATAAACTGAAAGTAATAATTTTATTACATCATTTCACATGGTTCTTCTCACGGTCTGATAAATGTAGAAAGAAATAAAATTGAGAAAATGGCGCGCTTTTCGAATAATAGCCGCTACATACGTTAAAATTATCTGTATGTTCAGCTTTTATATTTCTATCAATTTATAAGTTTCTTTCAGTGTTTTTATTTATTTTCATATTTTGGATTACTTGACAAGAATAATCAAAGATAATTGGATGAAACTGTCGATTAAAACTGATTTACTGTAATATATAGATAAATAATGTGTATGATCTTAAAATTCATGTAGCGAAAACAGTATTCTAATACATCGCATAGCTGCAAAGTAAGAAGAAAGTAATTATATTAAGAAATATTGCGTTATATTATCTCCTAATATTAATTTAGTAGAAGTATCTAAAAAGAGTACCCAGAGGTAGGAGTTTAATTTCCAAAAAATTGTTTTAAAGTAACTTGATGTAATTGTTAAAAATGTTTTACAGGGATTTGAATTAACTCATGAATAAAAAAAGTTCAAACTTTGAAATACGAAGGTGTTTCGTCTTTTACTCAAGTAATAATGGTGATGCCAAACTGGCAAATTAAGTTGGGCCAAATAGTTCCGTGAAGTCCTAATGTTTATTTCAGTTACTTTGAGTTCTATTTTATAATTCCCATTAAGATTACCAATGTTTAATTTTTATAAAAATAGTTTTGAATTAACATGCATAAAAACAAGGGTGCCGAGGGGCAATTTACTCAAGTATTTATCAGTTTTACTACAAATTGGATAATCACTCAAAATTTTTATTAGCGAAATGCTTAATTCGATGAGTTCTTTGGTATCTACTTTGGTTCTAAATATTCACTTCACGGAACATTTGGCCTAACTAATTCGGCATTTGCATCACCATTATACTTGGAACACAAGACGAAATGACTTCTATTTACTATTATTGTTCATTAACGGGAGTTTGGTTTGTTCCCCTTGAAAGTCAACTAATTCCGCTCAATACCAATAATTACTGCTTTAATTTAATTTCTTTTCAAAGTTTGAACTTTTGTATTCATGATTAATTCAAGTCCCCGTAAAGCCTTTTACTATTACTTCAAGTTACTTAAAACAATGTGGATTAACTTCCTACCTCTGTTCACTCTTTTTAGTTATTCTACTAATTAATTTAGGAGATAATATAATCAATATTTTTAGTAAAATTATATATATATGTATATATATTGTTTTTTTTTCTGAAAACTGTATTGAAAGGCTAAAATTAAATTAAAAAAATGGGTACTATTCGGTTCGAGGGCCATAAAAAAAGCCAAACTATTGTTCATGCCAATGGCCAAAAATAATTTGGCAAGAAGACGTACTATAGTAATAAACTATCTAAGATTGATGTTATTAGATGAAAGGTTAATTTCATAGAATACTTTTATAATTTATAAAAAATTGCTAAAACTAACTGAATGGATGCCTGAATCACTATTTTCGCTACCGATTATCACTAAGTATAATTTCATCTCGTTGGTTGTTCAACGTAATTTTCTATAAAATGATGCCTTTTCTTTGAAAACATCAGAATCGGAATTCAGAATGCAGAATCGCTCAATTTTTTGCCGCTTTATAAGGGTAAAAAGCAATGAATTTTGGAAATTTTATTTTACTTTTTAAATGAATAGGTTGATGTATACATATAAAGTCAGGGGGGTGCAGTCTATTTTGTGCAATTCTGAGATTTTTTTAAGTGAAAATGTCGATGTGCACATAGACACCGTATGGCAATTCTTAAAACCCGTCAAGCAGTCGTGATTCTGCACTTTAGCCAATTCTATTGCCGATTTTCGTCATGGGCATTCCCAAATTGTTTAAATCCATAGGATATCAAAAAGGATTTAAAATTAACTAGTATTCATGGCGTCTTAATAAAATTATAACTATAAACTTACGCATGTAAACCGCGCGTACGCTAGATTTCGCGTGCTGTTAAATGGGCGTGTTTGCTAGATTTGGCGCTTTTGCGCATGCATTTTCGCTGCAATTTTTTTACGTCCCTCAAAACAGAAGAGTACCAAAAAATGTATATTTCAGTTTAAAACATGACAGTCACTATAAAATAATGCATGAAATTAAACTGTATTCTTAACATCAAATATGAAATGATATAACATATACATAAAAAAGAATTTAAAATGTTTTTCAGCTCATTTATCAAATTATATTTCATATATATAGATATATGTATTTGTATGCACATAAACACATTCATGGTTTTTTTTTAGCATGAAGACACTGAAAGAAGTCTTTATTTACAAGCAGTTTTGAATATTTTTTATTTATCAACCTTTATTTAAATTAGGCATATAAAATATATAATTTTATATATTTTATATGCTACTTATGGTCTTCTAATTTACATCTCAAATTTTACATCTGTTATCTGATAGTCATTAAGAAATTATATGCTATTCAATGAGTAGATTTTGGAATTTTAGTTGCAAAAGCACAATCATTAAACTGAAATTATGAAATTGTAAGTATTACATTTAAATGCTGTTTAGAGTGAAATTTATCAGCAGCTAAGATATTTTTTATACTTCTCTTTTATGAAAACTGCATGAGTTTGTTTCCACTTAAATTACTGCTGCTCTTAATGAAAACTGTGATCTATTGAATATCTTAGTGCAGTGTTTCTCAACCCGATTTACTCATAGGACCAATAAAATGTTTCAATGTTTTATTGCGGACCAGTAAGGTTAGCAATTTGGACTATTGTCATAATCTTTACATGTACAAAATTGCAGAATCTGAATTTTGAAGGACTTGCGAATAGTGTTTATATACTAATAATAAACACTGCCTTAGTGCATATAATAGTGGTGGAACAAAAATGATTAATATTATTTGCCAGATTGTCAATATGAAGCTATCAGTTTACTGATAAAAATGTACGTTATTTTAAATTTTGCAATTTAGATTGAATGTCTGATTTAAAAAAAAAGAAAGAAAAGAAATATTTAGAAGATGACTGTGGTGTTTAACATATTTTATATGATCTTCTATGTTACATTTTTCATTCTATATGTAGTTTTCACATCTAGATTGAAGTATGAACTGCTTGTATAAAAACCAGGCTTGATATTTATCTTAATTAAGATGTAGTTAACATAAAAGAAGTGTTATGAGATAACATGCAAATTACTTCTTATAAAGAGGCTTTTTGGTGAATTTAGTTTTTGTTATAGCTGCATATTTTATGTATTTATAATGCTGTTGCTGCACCATATTGGTCATACGTGCTGCAAAGTTAGACAAATGGGTTTGAAGAAGGAAATAAAAGTTTGTTTTGTCCCCTTTAAGAAACTGTTAAGAATGTCTGATTAATTAAAACCTTAAAGGAAGCGATTCCCTTTCCATATAGTTTCCAACAGTATAGTCATAGGAGTCGTAACGGGCACTTCCCCGTAATTTGAGCTGGCTATGCCCATGTACCTCATTTTACTTAGTATTGTGGGCATGTGTGATGGATATATTATTTATATTTAGCCATTCAAGTTTTTAAGTTTTCCACTTGATGTACCAGAACTAAATGTTTCCTTAAGTGTATATTGTAATTATGAGAGTTATGTTGCTTTGTTGCGTTGTTGAAATATATTTTATGTGTCTTTTTCTCTTTTCTTTATAACAAACTGAGAAAAGTATAATGTTTGATTTAGTGAACAGTTTTATCAACAATATCATTAGAATAATTCAAGATTTTCCATCATTAAAAATGTAAACTGCTGCAATACAATTAATTTAATTTCTAAGTTTTTAATATTAACCCCAATCAAATCCAAAATACAGTAGTGATTGGAAGAGAAACATATTAGGTAATTAAAACTGGGCAAAAAAGCAACTAGAATTTTATTCAAAATATGTGCCAAACTAAGGTTGCCTTTTTTGCTTACCAATTTTACCTTTATTTTGCATATCTGTAATGTTGTATTTAATGCTCAGAGCTGTAAATATGGAATTATTTAAACTTTTATCATTCAAGATATCTTGAAAACAGTTATTTGATAATAAATTTAAAAAACTTATTCCTAAAATTAAATCTTTTTAGCAACGCTTTATCTCTTACAGATATACACATTTTAGATCATGACACATTAATAGGTTAATTACATATGTAATAGATGCTAAAATTTTTTTTGCACAGGACAACTGATGTTATATGTTCTGAAGCTATCTGCTAACTTCTTATTATATAAATAATTGAAAAATAAAACATATACTCTAAATTAACTTTAAATTATATTAAATAGCTGTAATAAGTACAATTCAGAACAGCATATATTTTTTAGATGCAAGAAGGAAGTAAAGTAGCTGGTGTTTATATATGAAACAAAAGTGGGATAACTTGAAATTTCATGCTTTCTTTCTCAATAAAAATATTTTTGTTAAAAAGAAAATACAATTTCTGACTTTAACGGATTAATCGTTTTTTAAATTTTGCATATAACAAGACAGAATTCGTTTCTGATAGATTTCTGCTCATTGTAAAACATTGCAAAGTGCAGCAGAATAGTAGTGCCATCTTGCGGTCGGTAGGAGTTTCACGGAGGCTACCGAAAACACAAAAGAATCTTTTCACACTGGCAGGCCTTGAGTTTAGTTGGTAATGGTTTAGTTAATGCTACTCCACTCTCCAGCATACAAAATATGTAGTTACAAGGTAAGTTAAATTAAAACTTCCTATTTACTTGCCTTTCGCGGCTGCGGGCGCGTAATGAATTGGAAGTTGATCTGTCAGCACTATCCTTATCTTCAGCGCAGATGTTTTTATTTTATTTGGCTTATAATTCCTTACCAAATGTAGTATTTCATCTCGATATGCTCCGTCTTTGATATGATTTAAATCAAGTTCCTCGTCATTATAATTCGTTTCCGATAGTGAAGAAAGTGACCCAGAGGTTATTGAAAACGAAAAAAGCATTTCGATTGACAAATTAGTCGGTATTCTCAACACAGCAATTATAGGACTTGAACAGCGGAACTTTGTAACTAAACAAGAAATTATGTCTGTTTAATAGAATTAAAGAGAAAGTATTATCACATGAAACGAAGCAACTTAAACAACTTACATTGAAGGAAATGTTTAATAAAGTAAACAAATAAATATTAAGCTTTTTCTTTTTGTAAATTTTGATACCCTTTAGATCATAATTGTTCTTTATTTCATAAATTATGGTTTCATATTTTTAATTTTGTAATTTCTGCATGCCATCTTACCAGATTTAAACTGAAATCGATAATAATCCGCCGACGAGTCCGGATTAACGACTTTTGACTGTAGTCTAATTGTTTTTTAATAAATTTAAAATTATAAAATAACTTTTTATGTCTGCATGTTATTGAAGAATGTTCAATTTTTAGAATTTAGAGCATTGGAGCAGATTAGAAAGGCACTAGGCAGCAGAAGGATCCAGACATTGCTCGGTGGGAAAATGCCTAGTGCCAGCTATGTGTATGATGCATTGACATATTAGATGAATTTTTTAAATGGTAAGTTTTCAACTTCTTAAAAAATGGTAAGTTTTCTCTTCTTAAATTATTAATAAAAAAATCACTATCTTTAATGCCTGCCCATGTGATAAGATTAGAAGTATTTTTTATATCTTCCATTCTTATATCTAATGAAAAGTAGAAAAAATAAAGGGAAGATAACCAAGTTAAGATTAACAAACAAACAGCATTCAAATATGATGTTTCAAATGTATTCAAATTCACGTAAAACATTCAAATATGATGTTTTTATTGTTCTTACAGACGCTCTCCAAAAAGTAAGAAACTCGTTGCAAACTTTCTGTAAAATACATCCATTACATGTTGATACAATGGAGACATTTTTCATTTTGTCATATATTTCTCAAATCTTCTAGAATCATGGGTCTATAAATCTTGCCTTCAAATCCTTCTAAACTTTCCAAGCTGCAATGTCTAAAATCCTAGGCAAAAATTATACCTACAAATTCTGTAACAGCAAAAAGCCAGAAATATTTTGGAAAAAAAAGAGGAGAAAAAAAGTGTAAAATTAATTTTATAGAAAAAACTGATGGACATTCTGAAACTTTTGAATATTCTGAGACAATTACATGGGAAAAACTCTTACTATGAAAAAGTTAAAAAGAAGACATTTTTAACTAATTACATAGCTAATTTTGCTTTTGCTAAGAGCTGTCTTGTAAAATGTGCTTTATAGCACAATTTACAAAACAGCTTGTTTATTTTTCAGATTAAAAATATTGTATAATACATTGCAAAAATGAAACTTTGTAATATGACAACAAAAAATAAAAATGTTTGATTTTAATGTTGTTATTTTAATGAAATTAATCAATGTTTTGATGTTTTAAAAAAAAAAATCGTCGAAAAATTCTCAGATCTCAGAATTAAAACGTTTCGATAGAAATTGATCTTAAAATTGTGAAAATGTTAAAAAGTCGCCAAATTTAGAACCGTTTAATAAAAGAATTCACATCCCCAAAAGCGAAAAGTTGTTTAAGAGCTCTTTATTAGAAAAAAATGAATTTTGAAATGCTTATGTTTCACTTCTTGCTTAGAAACTCGAGTATCCCATCATTTATATTAGAAATAGAAACAAATTATAACTCATGAACCCATTCAAAAGATGGACATATATATATGTCAAAAATATCCCCCCAAATGTTAATTCACACTCGAAATGGCAGTCGTAAAAACAGACAGAAATTTCAGATGATTAAAATTAAGGACCTTCTGCTGATTTTTGGCCAAATTTAAGGACTTTTAAGGACCAAAAATCGATTCAAAAATATCTAAGGACTTTTAAGGACTCTTAAGGAACGTATGAACCCTGTCTATTATGAACTGTAACAGACATACACATATAAGTCAAATTTTGAAATTTTAGAAAATTGTCTTCAAAGAAATGCTTTTATTGCAATATTACCTGGAATTTGATGGGTTACTAAGAACATCTTCTTGGGATGAGCTGTTACTTAAAGATCTGCTAGGCTCTTCTGATATCATTTTCATCATCAATCTGTGTTTTCTATTTTGATGCTTTTCATGATTTTGCTTGCCTTGTTTTACAGCTACAGTTTGATGTAAAGCTGGCAAATCATGTGAGCTTTTCTCTACACCACCAACACAATTTTCATCTGCCCCTTAAATTTATGATGATATATATTTAAATACTTTAATTTATTCTAACCTACATATAAATATCACAGAAATTTAACATAAAATGTCACTTCAAATTAAATTTTTACTCAATTATTAAGTAATACACATACTATTCAAGCAATTAGTTATAAAATTTTAGTAACTAAGTACTTGCTCATTCTGCACAGAGTATCGTACTTTGTCAGACTGTTATGCTGTGTGAAATTCCATTTGAGTTCCCAAACCATACTCAAACATTTAGAAAATTAGCAAAATCTGCAAAGGAAGTAATTCATTTTAATCTTTTGAGGGTTATACATGTGGTTTCTGTTTCTTGTGTTTAGGGAATGGACGTTCAAAAAAGCGGAATTACGCGAAAACGCAGAAAACTTTCATGCCTGCTAGTAGTAGAGAGTGCAGGAATGCATATTCCATGAAGTCATTTGTGCAATCATCTAATCTTTTTTTAAAGTTAAAACAGGCCAATGTGTACATGGGGAACAGCTTCAGTTTGCCCTATTGTGATGAGAATTCTGCAATTCTCTGAAATTTAAAACAAACCGCTGCACACATGGACAGATGGCCAAGAAAAAAAGATATTTAAGTGTTTTATTATGAATGTTTGTTGCATTTTTAATTTAGTTAATTTGTTACTGTTTTATGAAATTTTGAGTATTTTGTTATGGATGCTTGTTTTAATTGATTTTTAATGTTTCATATGGATTATTCTTGCATTTAAATTTATTGATGTTTTATATAATTTTCAGCACGTCACCATTTTTTAAAATAGCCACTGTTTTTCATGCATCAGGTTGGCAGAAAACTAGTTGCCAATAATTTGTGACCTTGCCAAAGTGTTGGACAGATAATGCAAGAGTATCTAATATTCATATACATAATAGAGTTTAAAAAAATTTAAATTTATGTCTAGCTTCAAATACAGTCAAAAGTCGTTAATTCGGACATCCATAATCCGGACCTCAAAGCTAAAATCTTTCTGCGCATGCGCCGCATTGACGCATGCGCGCAAGACCTTTACGTCTGCGCAAGCGCAGAATACGTTTTCGCGTGCGCGTTTAATGTATAACGGACGGTATAAGCTAAAATTATCTAATTCAGTTAATGTTGAGATTGTGTTGTTCCTTAATCTTCGAATTGGATCCGGCTTATTATTTTGGCAGACTGTAAAGAGCAACTTTATAAAAGTAAGCTTGAACTTTCGATTACGTCAAATAGAATTTCCGATGCTGGAGCTCCCAAAGGATCTAGAAAACAAAAGTATGTTTCGATGTCCATCAAACGAAAAACGAATAAAGGCATATCCTTTGTTTATCTAACCGTTCCGAAATCTGTTTATCAATTTCACGCTGCTCTGCACTGGAGGGGGGGGGGGGGTACGTCACGGCGCCCAATGAACTGGAAATTGATCTGTCAGCACTATCGTTATCTTCAGGGCAGATGTTTTTATTTTATTCGGCTTATAATTCCTTACTAACGTAGTCTTTAATTCGAGTACTCCGTCTTTGATATGATTTAAATCAAATTCCTCGTCATTATAATTATCACGAATACAAATCAAATAGTTTCTGGTTGCAATTTCTAATTTCGGCTATGCTAAGGTATGCTTTACGCATGCGCACGTTGAAAAAATGTTTAATAAGTAAACAATAAATATTAAGCTTCTTTTTTTATAAATTTTGATACCCTTTGAGATCATAATTGCATTATTTTTAAAATTATGGTTCATATTTTTAATTTATAATTCTGCATGCCATTTTACCAGATTTAAACTGATGATCTATAATCCGGAATCGCCGATGTCCCGACGAGTCCGGATTAAAGACTTTTGACTGTACATCTTTTTCATATGACAGAATTTTAGATTAAACATTGATTCTTATAGTCATTAATGCAGTATTATTAATTTGGACCTCATCACTGTTGAATGATTAAATAAAAAACAATTAGCCTTTTGAGTCAGTGGGAAACCTGCAATAAACTACTAAAGTTCGGCAGTTTTCAGCTCTTGGTTATTAAAGGGCATAAAATGAGCATAAAAAATTAATTTATTCTTCCGTTGATCAACTCTAAATGTCTTTCTGCGAGAACTCAAATGCAAGCTTCAAAGGAAAGAGAAGCAATGACATTGTAAAACATATCAGGATTTATATGCAACAATTTATATTTTTCTTCAAAAAATGAACAATTATAACTCATAGGTTTTTCATATTAAAAATAAAGGAAAAGAAAAGGGGAAGGGGCTTATTATCAGTTCTGAAGATGGTCACCTACAGAATAACATTTAGAAAGAGTTCATTTAAATACATTCTGAAATGTGAAATTATCTTGATCATAACCTAAAAAAGTAATTTATAATTTACTGATTTTTGCCAGCTCAGAAAATGTCCAAAATATTACAAACAGCAATAACATTACACCCACATATACTCATTTTCATTACAAAATGAGCTGCCCTAAACTATACATAAGTTAGGTCTGTATACGGTAAACAGGACATTTCTAACTGAATATAAGCAACCACAGTGCTCCATAGTTAATTAGATCAAAGTTATCAAAATCTGTGCAATAAATGAAGATGGATTATCCATTTATTGCAGGAATATAGTGCTTTGACAAAAACATAGTTACATTTTATCATATGTAATAAACTTTTTATCATATGTAATAAATATTTTTGCTAATTTGTTTAAAATTTCTCATAAGTATTCTATGCTTGTTGAAAATTTTGTATACTTGCTCAGGAGTTAAGTTTACCTAACTCATCATCTCTGCCACTCTAAGCATGTGCACAGAACTGACAGGCAAGACATGTGGATTAACATCTCAATGGAAGTGCATACCACCTATTCATCGCATGTAACAAGTATAGGTATAAGCGTATAGGACACTAGAATTTCACCACAGCTTGTATAGGCCCACCATACTAACTGCGCAGATTATCCCAATTTTGAGGGGGAAGACCCTCTTTCCCTACTACCAACCACTCCAGAGGATATTTGATTCACCATGCATTTTGAATGCCACCTAGCCATACAGATACTACACACAAAAATCCGTTGCTTCTTTGGGATTCGAATTTGGACTCATTGGTACAGCAATCAATGTCACTAACCACTATATCATGGGTTCTCCCTCTTTTTTTCTCATGCCTCCCTACTGCCAAAAATAAAAATTCCTACACCCCCTTTCCCCATGAGGTCACTTTTTTTTTCTGACCATGAGGCCACTTCATGGCCAGGAGGATCTGAGTGTACCCTTTATACCCTATATCTCCTTTCCCAATAACATCACCTACCTAAGGTTAGTAATAATAAAAAAAGCATACTTTATGAAAGTTTATAGAAAAATGCTGTTTTCACACACACATATGGTAACGGGGGGGGGGGACAGACGAATGAGCTTGCACACTTTTGAAAAGATTTCAGTTCAAAATAGAAATCACTAGCAATACTGAGTTTACTTCTACACTTCGCTATTAGTGCTGCAACTACTGAAAGTGCCCTTTCACACAAAAAAGTGTTTGAAAACAGTAAGTACAGTTGCTGTGCTTGGCTTATTCATCTTGTCAAAGCCATACTTGGCTGCAGAATAATTTTTAATGCATCTAGCAATCAACTAAAATAAAATGAAGTACATGCCATGCGGTAATAACAGTAGCCCCTATTTTTAAAATTGGGAATTGCAAATTTGAAATTGTAAGCAAATTTAAATATTTAGGATCAGAACTTAATACTCTCAATGATTTAATGGCTGAGATCTGTAGTAGAGTCACAGATGCTAACTGATGTTTTTTTGGTTTCAAAAAATACTTGAAGTCTAACTTCACTAGCAGAAAAATGAAGATTTTAATTTAGAACAGCTTAATCAGACCCATACTTACATACTCTGCTGAGACTTGGGCAATGACAGAAAAAGCTAAAAGTATCATTTCTGTCTTTGAAAGAAAAATTTTGAGAAGTATTTTTGGTGGCATAAATTGTAACAATATCTGGAGAAAAAGAACCAACTCTGTACTCTATAAATCTTTTAAGGAAATAGATATAGTAAAATATATAAGGATTCAAAGAATTAAATGGGCAGGACACCTGTGCAGAATGGATGAAAATCGAGTAACTAAAATGATCTCGGCCAGACCATTCAACACCTGAAAAAGAGGAAGACCTAAACTTAGGTGGCTTGACTGTTTGGAAACAGACTTCAGAATTTTAAAAATAACTAATTGGATGTCCATGGTCAGGGATAGAAGAGCTTGGAATTCAATTCTGAGGAAGGCAAGGGCCCATCATGGGCTGTCTGCCATTGAAAAATAATTTTTAATTTCCAAAGTTTGCTCTGGTAGTGTTTCTGGCAGCACATCTATGTCAACGTGAAAAGAACCCGTCACAGTCTATAATGGTTATTATCATGAATTGAAAAAGTAATGTTTGAATTGATAAGTGAGGTGCTGCAAATTATATGTTATTTTATTCTTAGCATGAGTATCTTTAAAAACTTCCTTAAACTGCAGAGAAATTGTAGGAATAACTGCAAGCTAAAACTTTACACTCCCAGAGTTGCAACTTATCAGTATATGCTGTGATGGCATCCCGATGATAAATTATGCTAGCTAATACACTTGGCTTCCTGAATTCGACATATAATTCAGTTTGATTTTGATTGTAAAATCTGAATCTCTTTATTTCAAAGTCCTGCACTAACTGATTTTTTTTATGTTTTTGGTCATATAATCACTGTGACAAGAAAGCAGTATTTGTGAAAATTTTTATTTACTTTCTAGACCAAGAAAAATATTAATTGCTTAATGGTTTGATGAGTGTTTCTCCAATGATATGACTTTTCTTGGCTTTAGTAATGAGTAGCGATACCTCATATGAAGCTTCGGGTGCTTTTTCAGATGACTGAGCAAAGGATCTAATATTATCCAATTCCACATGTTACAGACTTGCAAATGTTGCAGCAAAACACTCCTTTAGCTTGTCTTTCAATGCACTACGTTATGTCGACAAATGTCGCTCTAGACAAGAATATCTCATGTGTCATGATTGCTCAACACTTCATAACAGATTTATAACACATTGTAGTTGATTGATACCATTTTTTTTCCGGTACAACAAAAAAACAATGTTTAATATAATCATTATCATATTTGTTTTTCTGCCATGACGAAGTAAAAAAAAAAAAAAAAAAGTCAACAGTTTATATTTAAATCAAAAGTACATGTAATTTCAATGCTTATGTGATTAATACTGATTGAACTCAGTCCCAAATACAACTTGAACGTAGTGCGGTGGGGTGTGTGTATGTTGTGGTGTGCGCAGACGGCAGAGTATCACTTGCCCTATCCACGTGCCCCTTTATATGTAATCGTACCTCCTTGATGAGTATGCGGTCCAATCTGAAAATAAATGCATTATACTGCCTGGGTAGCTCGTTGCGTACATGAGAAATAAAGAATGGCATATGATCATCTATAATCTTGTTTGTATTATAGCAAAGCACTCCATAACTGATTTACGTATGATGGCATGTAAATTGATAATTATTGCATGCTAAATGTAATTCCGAATACCAATTCAGAAATGATGTTAAAATTCAAATAGTTATTTTCAGAAAAATGTTATACAACCACTTATTCTATCAGTCATGCTCACATTTCTAGAAATAGACTAGTGTGCCTATTCAAAGACTGCTATAAATGAGAAAGATATGGACTTCTTTTCTAATCCTGTATCTTGATTTTCTATATGAAAATTTAAGATACCTAAACCACACAAAAGCTACAAACAGGCAAATATATGAGTTTCTTGAAAGCATATCACAAGAGATGAGAGTAAGTAAAAGTTAGAAATTTAACAACTTTACACAATATATCTAATGTGGCAACAATCTAGAATTCTTAAAATCAATTATGTATACCACAAGAAGCAAAGAAAATCAGCATAAAAATTTCTTAAAATGTTTGTTTTTGAATATGGAAAAAGAGAAATAGTAATTATAATTTATTGAAATAAATTATAATTATTGAAGTCATTAAAATACACCTGAACATGAAGTTATTTTGGTACATATAAAAAATATTGATATATTCTTTCATTTATTTGAAAATTAAGCAAAATTCAATCCTAGAATGATGTTAGTTTTATAGAGAAGTTCTATGCATTTTAATATTTATTTATTGCTAAGAATACAAAATCAGTCACTTTATAAAGCTAAAAAAATTTAGATACGAGTGGACACTTACATGGATGAGTTTCATCATAAACTCGGGATAATAAAGCCACGGCTTTCCTTCGAGGTAAAGCTCGAACACCAATATTTTTCAAAGCTTGTTTTATATCTGGAGTGACCATATTCTTGTAGTCAGGCAGTGGAGTTATCGGTGAATCAGATAGCTTAAATTGCGAAAAACATTTATCCTGTACTACAGGTGTAGCTAAAATTTTGAAAATCAAATCAAAATATTAGTACTTGTTAAACATGCTGTAAAAATCCATTTAAGTAATTAAATCATATATGCATCAGACGTAATGCTAATGCAAATATCAAAGCATTATTTTTTATCATAAAATTGACAAACAAATAAAAAATTATTCGAACAATATTATGAAGTAAAGTAAATAATGATAATTTTATTCTACAATCTTCCTCAGGACAAAAAGCCTAGGAGGTGATTTACAGGTTACTTCTCTATTATGTGAATCATTTTATTGATTAAGCCTTAGGTAGACATCGATAAAATGAAACCCATTAAGGCTCAGTTCATTTCAGAGATACAAATATATTTTCATTCATTAAAATACTATTCTTTATAAAAGTGAATGAGCTTTGCATATAGAAGTAGATTACAAATTTTTAGAAATTAATTAAAAAAATTAAGGTTCTTCAAACCCCCCATAATAGACTTCAACCCTCTGAGCAGCTTGGGTTTTTGGATCTGTCATGAAGACCTGAATTAGCTAAATTTGTATATTTACTTACTTTAGGCTCTATTTTCATAAACTTACATATATTAAGATGACATTAATTAGTCATATTATTAAAGAAAGTAAGAAAGCAAAATATCGTAAATTATAAGCTAATATATACCAAGTGACAAAAAATTGCAAGACCAGATAAAGCCGGCCATGCCGTTCAGACGATTAAATTAAGGCTCTTATTTGCCAATAATTTTACCATAAATGCTTACTAAACTTTAAGGTTTTTTTAGTGTAAAATGAAATGATATTTGAGCATACTCAAGAAATTTTTATATATTTAAAACAAATTTGTTATACAGACACTTTCTATATTTTATTCATTTGCCCCTAAACTGCTGCACACATGAATTGTTATGAAGTATGAAAATGTTCTAAATACATGCTTGTTGGAAACTGTACGACTTTTGCATCACGGTGTATTTATAACTTTAACAAATGTGAACTATCAAGCTCTACATCTAAATTACAGTTTTTCCTTAGATTTTTTCTAGCTATGCTACTGCTTATTCGAAAGACAAATGAAATTGCTCCAATGTAAGCAGTCATAAATCTAATTTGACAATGAAAATAGTACAGTCCTGCCTTTTGAGAAATAGCTAGAGATCTTGATCTATTAATCAACAATGCAGCTCAATTAATATTATAAGTTGAATTTTAATTTTTATTTAGTCATGAAAACATAAAATATATGATTGACATTAAAAGAAAAAAATTAATTTTCTTAGCTATTTTGAGTTACAGAAAAAAGCTCTAAATTATACTCATGTTTAGTTAGTGCAAACCATCACATCACTAGTTCACAACACAAATAATAATATGCATTTTGGGCATTTGTTCATGCTTTGAGTAGTAGTTTCAATTCCAAGTGTAAAACATAATACAGTGTTTTGATAACAATTTTATAGAGAATTCAAATTTTATCAAAGATTTACCATATAAACAATAGGTCTTAACCACTTGCGCTAAAAAGACGTGCCACGCACGCACGTTGAGATGCTTTTGTCTCAAAAAGGCGAGCGGCGTGAACACCACATCGATAGGCATTTATCACAAAAATGAAAATAACGCGGTGCACACATCGCCTAAGAACGATATTGTTTATTTCTCGAGTTACAGCTCTGGGATTGCACTTGCAGACGCGGAGCAGCGTAAATGAGACACTTTACCGCTTGTTATATTATAGTGCACGGCACCGCAACCGTGAAGTTTAGCCTTAGCGCAAGTGGTTAAGAAACAGAGTGGCTACAACTATTTATTTTTTGCTTAAAGCTGTAAATTAAAATGATTTTAAAAACGTATATCGCAAAATGCAAATAGAATTTTCATACATTGAAAATACAGATTTTATGATTAAACTTCAGTATGTAATTAGATTAATACATAAAGTATTTGTAAAGATAAAATAGTTAAATAAACACACTAATCTGAAAGTATTAAAAAATACTCACAATAGTTTTCTTTCTTTTCACAATGTGAAATTTCCTTATGTTTCTTTAGCTGTGTCATTTTTGCAGATAATTTTCTTACAGCTGATAATTTCCTAGATTTTAAATTTGAAACATGAGTATCTGTTTCAGATACTTTATTTTGTTTACTTGGAGCCTGAAAATCTTGGAAGGAATCTTCTTTGGTCAGTGCACGGATTCTCTCAGACAAAGGTAAAAATAAGTCATCACTGGACGAATCCTACAAAGGAATAGATATTTACAGCAACAATTAAAAAAATATGAAAGGTATAGGCATAAAATATAATTCACCACAAAAAAAGAGTAAAGTGTCATTTAAAGACTATTTTGCAAATTAAATGCTACACAGTAACATCTTAATTATTATTCAAACAGCAGACACAAGAGCCACTCCGTCAACTTAATTAATGGCAGGGAGACAATATAGTGGTTAGGGGTGCCCACTTATGGTATCAAAAAACCCAGGTTCGAATTCTGGAGAAGACGTTGATGTTTGTAAATGTACAGTGTCGGTGCGGCATGACGACACTCTAAATATGCGGCAAGCCAAAAGTCCTCTCGTGTGAATTGGTGGAAGGGGAGAGGGTGGGAGATACCCAGGGGTGCTCTAGCTCAAAATTGGGTGTGGAAAATATAACCTCTCTTAGGAGAAGGCTCTGGCAACCATTGTTCCATGTAATAAGGACAAGACAACAACAACATGTACTATTTTTAATTAAACAAAAAGGAAGAAAGAAAAAACATGGAAATTTAATTTATGATTCTCATGATGATAAGATTACATTCCTGAATATTGAAAATTCAAAGTAAATTCGTGATCAAAACTAGTTAGATTTCGATGAATGAATGAGACAAAGACAGCTTGAGTTGCACTGAGAAAACTAGACTGACAGATTAAAGAAAAATTTTGGACAAATTTAGCAAAGTGGGAAGGAAGAGAATGTAAATCAATAATAATTAGCAATGGGAGAGTTACTAAATATTTCCTTTTGTAATATAAATAAATTTCATATCCTTCAATGCTAAATTTCTGTATTTTAGCAAGAAAAACTGGTAGAAATAATTGATTTAAATTTTGCATGAATTACTTGTGAAAAAATGAAATTTGTCTGTTAAAGAGAAGAAAACTTGAAATACAGTCAAAAGTCTTTAATCCAGACGTCCATAATCCGGAATGATCTATAATCTGGACCTCAAAGCTACAAACTTTCTGTGCACGTGTAAATGCATGATGCAATTACGGATGCGCATTTAATGTATAATAAACAGTATAAGCTAGGATAAAATTATCTAATTATCTATTTCAGTTAATGTTGCAGATTGCAGTGTTTCTTAATCTTCTAATTGGATCCAGCTTATTATTTTTTGCAGACTGTTAGAGCAATTTTATAAAAAGTAAGCTTGAACTTTCGATTATGTCAAAAAGAGTTTCCGATTCTGGAGCTGCTAAAGGATCTACAAAGTGAAAGCATGTTTCGATGCCCATCAAACAGAAGTGGAATTGCTGAAAAATGGAATAAGCATAGCCTTTGTTTCTCTAACCATTCCGAAATCTGTTTATTCAATTTCACGCTGCTGCGGGGGGGGGGGATATTGTGGCGGCAATGAACTGGAAGTTGATCTGTCACACTATCTTTATCTTCAGGGCAGATGTTTTTATTGTATTTGGCTTATAATTCTTACTAAAGTAGTATTTCATCTCAATGTACTCCGTTTTTGATATGATTTCAATCAAATTCCTTGTAATTATAAATATCACGAATACATCAAATAGTTTTCTGGTTGCAATTTCTAATTTTCACTATGTAATGTATTTATCATGCACGCGTGAAAGAAATGTTTAATAAAGTAAACAAATAAATATTAAGCCTTTTTTTGTAAATTTGATACCCTTTAGATCATAATTGCTCTTTATTTCATAAATTATGGTTTCATATTTTCAACTGTATAATTTCTGCATGCCATCTTACCAGATTAAAATTGATGATCTATAATCCGAAAAAACCGATAATCCGGAATCACCGAAGTCCGAACGAGTCGGGATTAAAGACTTTTGACTGTATTTGCCATTAAATATGCATGATACTGGTGTAAAAACGAAAAATATTTTTATGTATAAATACTTGTGAAATAATGAAATTTATTTGGTAAAAAGACAAAATTTGAAAGATAATGCCACTATATGCACAATACTGGTGTTGAAAAATGGAGAATACTTATATGTGACATAATGCACATCACCAGCATTTCTGATAAAAATTGAAGCACAGAATGTGTTTTCTGTAACTTACCAAAAATCTAGATTATTCTGTCATGGTGATTACATCATAAAATGATCATTCTCTTTTTAAAAATTTTTATTTATTTATTTAAAAATTAGAACACTAAAGATACCAACTTCTGATAAAATAAAATAATTCTGGTGTCTGTCTACAACTTGCATAACATAAATTTGGAAAGATTGGCACATTTTTATTATTGTTGTGATACAAGGAGAGCAGCAAGCAGTAGTCTAACTTTGCCAATATGCTGAAGCAAAGGGTGATGTGTTCAGGAAGTTGACTAGATAATTAATAAATCTCTAACATTATTGTTGGCTTATTTAAATTATTTTTTGTCTGAGCATTATGAAAAAATCATATGATGTGGATAATCTAGGAATGGTGTAATCTAGAGAAAGCTATTACAGTACAAAGTCCGTAATCCGGACGTCCATTATCCGAAATTATCTATAATCCAGACCTCAAAGAAACAAACTTCTTTTTTTTTGGTATGCTTTACGGATGCGCATTTAATGTATAACGGACGGTGTAAGCTAGGCTAAAATTATTTTTACTGATTCTAAGGCATTTCAGTTAATGTTGCAGATTGCGCTGTTCCTTAATCTTCTAATTGGATCCAGCTTATTATTTTTTGCAGACTGTTAAAGCAATTTTATAAAAATTAAGCTTGAACTTTCGATCATGTCAAAAAGAGTTTCCAATTCTGCAGCTGCCAAAGGATCTACAAAGCGAAAGCATGTTTTGATTTCATCAATCAAAAAGTGAAATTGCTGCAAAAAATGGATAAAGGCACATCTGTCTCAAAATTATGTGAGGAGTACGACATTGGAAAGTCAGTTTATATGACATAAGCTTAAAAAAAAAAAAAAAAAAAAAAAAAAAAAAAAAAAAAAAATGCCCCAATCATCAATCAATTAACGGATGGCAAAATCTGTAGTATGGTTCTAGATCCAGAAAATATCGCTTCTGATAGTGAAGAAAGTGACAGAGAGGTTATTGAAAACGAGAAAATTTCGATTGACAAGTTAGTCAGTATTCTCGACACAGCAATTACAGGACTTGAACAGAACTTTGTAACTGAACAAGAAATTATGTCTGTTTATAGAATTAAAGAGAAAGTATTATCACATAAAACGAAGCAACTTAAACAACGTACATTGAAAGAAATGTTTAGTAAAGTAAACAAATAAATATCAAGCTTTTTTTTCATAAATTTTGATACCCTTTAGATCATAATTGCTCTTTATTTCATATTTTAATTGTATAATTTCTGCATGCCATCTTATCAGATTTAAATTGATGATCTGTAACATGGAAAAACCCCTAATCCGGAATCGCCAAAGTCCCAATGAGTCCAGATTACGGACTTTATACTGTATAAAGAATTATTATTTTTAGAACAGAAAGGGGAAATACCCAAATTAAAATGAAAAACGAAGGGACAATTTATATAATTTTGATTTACACTTTTCATCTTACATATATATGAATTATGATCATCATTATCAATCATCATATATGTATACACAGACTTAAATTGGAAAAGCTAATGAAAGAAAAAAAAATTACAGATGGATTATTTATAACAACCTGTTTATTATTAATGCAGTCAAAAATCTCAAAATAAGTAATATTAACTGCTATGAATTTGAGAATTTCTCTACCACAAGAAATTTATGATAGTCTAAGTACTTACAAAATTCTTATGGACATGCTTAATATTTTAGGTTATAATAGACATAAAAAACTATCTCAATTACTTGTTCTTTTTCAATTTTCAATACAAAAATCAGAATACTTTATTTCTACAAGTTAGAGGTATCCCAATGGGTGCAAATTACTCGCCTCAACTGTGCAATCTATTTTCTAAAGAATTCAAATTTCTTAATTCACTACAAGGATTTACAAAAACTCTCCTTCACCATGCAGATACACTTACTGATGACATTATTTCCTTTAATAATTTTAATCTCATTGACAACAGCAGTATTTACCCTGAATGCCTGAAATTAAACAAGATTAACACAGAGCAGTTAGAAGTAAATTATCTAGATCTATGCATTGTTAATCTAAAAATATTAAGGCTTTATGACAAAAGAAGAGATTCAACTTTACTGCTGTAAAACTTACTAACTGGTTTTCTAAAATCTTCAAGTTCTAAGTAATACTATTAATAATCAAATAAAATATATTAAGAATGTTTGTATGGAAGTAGAACAGCAATCAAAAGAAATTTCAATACTTATAAAAACCTAAAAAAATAATAAAGTTCCCTTAACTTTCCCTGATTTACTTTTAAAAACATTAGAGATTCTATGAACTATGAGCTTTTGCTAACAAAATAAAAGCTATTCTTAAACCTTTTTTAGGAGCAATGGTACGGATGTGTGAAAAACACTTTCATAGAGTATAAATATATATAGTAATAATTTTGTAAAAATTTGTAGGATATTTCTTCATATATATTTTCTTTGACTAAAACATAGGCAACTTTTTATTTCATGAGTGGCTATAATTTGCCATTTAGCATGAAGATTTTTTCCCTTTAAAATATTTGCTACTCAATTTTTGTTTTTCATTACATTACCAAATAATTCTTTAGTTCTGTATTTTGCCTACATAACATGGCAAGGATAAAAATTTGCCCAAAGCAATCACAATATTTTAGCTGTATATTCACTGTTGTAATTATTTCCTTTGCAAATAATGATGCTATAATAATTTTTTAGTTTATTATCAAATAATAGACTAAAATATCTTAGTAATTTCATTTTTTATATTATTTAACTTTACTTAAATTTTTCACTTGCATTTTCACGTATAAGACTAATACTTATTGAAGACATCTTTTGTGTGGGTTAGAACTGCTCTGTAGGAGAGAAATTTTTAATTTTCAGGTATACTGAACGTACTTATACTATTAATTTAATACCTTGGA